AAGGGAAGGGAAGGGAAGGGAAGGGAAGGGAAGGGAAGGGAAGGGAAGGGAAGAATACTTTTATTGTGTAAAAAAGGAAACACAAGCAAAGGATATGGCAGATGGTCTCTTTATCTGTCAGCTATTCCACAAGAAGAAAACCAGTTCATCTGGATTTTGCTCTTGGTAGCCCCCACCACACTGTCTTGTGTCTAGCCACATGTCTCTACTCCTGTGCACTATCATCTGAATTATGCAGCCCTTCATTTTCCTATGTTTTCACTAATTATCAGGGTCTATCCCTCCTTCCATTCACTCATTATCCAATCAGCTTGTGCATCTCATCCATTTTTACAGTATTTCACCTGTCCATACCACCAACATACAACTGATTTAGTTGCACGTGCACCTGCTACATGCTGGTTTTGATCAGGATGTCTGTTCTCTTACAGCTTAGAAAACAAGAGAAGGAACAAGAAAAGCAAGCAGAAAAGGAGGAAGAGCATTAGCGGAAAGAATGAGACAGATATGGAAAGAACGGCAATAATGGAAGGATAAAAGAGAATATAAATTTGAATCTCACCTTGAATGGTTTGAACACGGAAGACCAAATAGAAATCCACCAGCAGGATGAAAATCTCTTTCATGTTCATATTGTCCTTGGCACACAGGCTTGATCCTAACTCAGAATTTCAGAGTTTTCATTGCCCACTGGCTACTCTCTTGCTCTGCTTACTGTGAAGCTGTTTGTTTTCGTTCCACATAAAGAGAAGTAAAACTGAATAAGGGAACTTCTTTTAGATTACGTTGAAGTGACATTCAGGAAGAACTTCTACCAAGCATTTCTTGCAGGACAAAAGCCACATCTTCGTGTGCTGTTGCAACGCAAGCAAAAAATGAAGTAAATGTACATTCCCAAGGAGGTGCAGGGATTCAGTCAGCTGAGAAGCAACAAGAAAAACATCCTAATTTTTTATGAGAACTTATCCTTAAAATTAATTTAATTCTTCTGCTCTTTATGCTTAAAGCCTTCCTAATGAACCACAACAGTAGTTAATTTCCTTAAAAATATGATCTCAACCACACAGTTCCTAGGACCGACAGTTGTTGAATTTCCATATTCATTCACTTTGAGAATTTCCTTCAACATACTACTTTTCTAGGTGCTCTCCTAACAAGTTACAAATTGTAGACACAGTGCCAAAGAAACTAAAATGATTTATTTTTTTCTTTTTTTCTGGTGATTGTAGAGACTGAAAAGTAGGTTGAGCAGTTCCAGGACCATGGACCACACTGTTCAATGCTGGAATTTAAGTCCTTTTGGCCACCTTTCATTGCTCTCTCAGAATCATAATACACACCCCTGCTGAAGTACATTACAGTTCTGAGACTTTTTCTACTTTAGGGGAGCATGGAAAAACTCCTTTTAAATTCCTATTGACTTTTAGATTCCCAAACGCCACTTCCTTGAATCAGAAACAACTGGCTGAGCCCTTAAATAATCATTGCAGCTAGGGAATCCCTCAGTAACTCACAAGTCCTTGTATGGGAGCAGACTCTGCCATTATGCTTCCTCCACAGAGGAAGCCATTCCTTTACCTGGATCCAGGGGTGTCTGTGAGGCAGATGTTGGATGACTTTCCCTGTCCAGCCTCCTCCCCACCCCACACCAGAATCCTCTGATGCAGCAATCAGCAAACCCACACTTGCCTAGAACTGGAGACAGAAATATAAACTTCTTGGCAAGTAAGTCTTCAAAATAACTGCTATATCTTTTGTGAACCTCAAATGTCACTTTCAGAGAAGCTGACACCCCCCTTTAAAGGAAATTCTGTGCAATTACACAAAATAGGAAGTCTGTACTTTCTATTTTAGCCCCCAAAGCACGCACTTAGATGAGACTGTTAGGTTAACTGGGAAGGGAGGGAAAGGAAGTTTGTCATTGCCAATCTGTGTGTTAACAATTACCAGATCATGAGACTTAACTATTTTAAGAAAGACAAAGGATTGACTGGACTGACTGCAGCAGAAGTAAGAAAGATGAAGAATTTTATGGTTTTCACTCCTCTGCTGTTTCTTGCTTTAGACTAGACAATCTTCATGGCAGGGATCCCTCTGGGCTTTCGTTTGTGCATCTATACTGGAGGAGTGTGAACTACCTTTATCTCTGTCACTCTTTATTTTGCATAATATTTCTAAGTTTTACCGATTTCAAGAACAATTAATAATAAATTATAAGTACTATAATACATAGAGGAAACGAAAGAAAACTGGTGAGAGTAGTTGATCTGAAGTTAACCTACATCTAAGGCAGCCTGGTCTTTTAATCCAACCATAAAAAAAAAAAAAAACAACTTAGGAAAGTTTGGCAGCCATAAGGGAGAGACATGTTCAGGTTTGTGTTCTCAGGGATAAGCTGTGGGGGCTCAGATGAGTCCCCAGATACAGAATATAACTGACAGAGTCTGTCTGTCTGTCCTGCACTGCTACTCCTCCTCTCAATCCCCATGGTACTGACCAAAACCACAGTTGGCACAGTTATTCTCTCATCAGAACTGCATCAATAAACAAAAACAAAAAAAAAAAAAAAAAGAGAGAAGTATCGTGCATAAGGGAAACAAGGGAAACATGCAAAGCAAGACAAAGAATATGGAGAATTTCTGGGGAAACTGTGTATCAGAAAGTGTCCATATAAAACCTGCAGACAGTTAGGGGAAGAGGTAACTTGGCTAGATGGGAAGAATTTATTTTGCATTGTAGTTTAAAGGCAGAGGGGGACCATCCTGCTCCGATTTTCAAAGGCCAGTGTGTTTATGTTCTTTCAGCACCCTTATAAAAGAGGACAGTGGTTTCCCAGCAGACATTTTCTCTCCTTTTCCTTTCTCATTGAAATTGTTCCTCCATTTTGAGAGAGACATGCTGAGCTGCTGGTTACATCGTAGGATCTAGCTGTCAGTGAAAATCTCTGAGTGCCACTTGCTCTGTTGAACTCCAGGAACAAGTAACAGGGAATCTTGCACACCAGAACCTTTGCAGACTGTACCTGCTGTCAGGTTTCAAACTTAACAGTGCATTTTCTTATGTATCACAACATGTAATATCATTGGCACAATCGTTGCTATTACTTCATCTCCTTTCTAAACTGCATTGCTACAATGCCCCTGAAGTAGGAAGTTACATTTTGTATTATTTCAGTAAAATAATGTCAACAACTCCCCACACCCCAAAAAAACCACTTTCAAATAAAAACTGATGAACTTTATTTATTGAAGAATCTGATACAGTAATTTCTTGTTAGTTCTACTTTGAATTGCAGTGTCACAAAGCAGAAGATAGAGAAGAAATTGCTGTCTGACTAGACATCCTACACATTTTCCCAGAACATGAAAATAAGTAGACTGTACAATTATATAAAGGTCTATACAGAACACCACATGGGTACTAGGTTTGATTCACAGAAATCAATATACTGGTCAGTGGAAAAGAAGAAAGCTAAGATGACCTGCAATTTCTTCACTGAAATCCAAAAAAGTTTTCTTGATGCTCCTAGGACAAACTCTGAACATCCAATCAGACTCCAACATGAGATAAATAATTACACAGTGGCACACAAACCTTCAGATAAGCAAATGAAATTTATGTGAGTCCAGAAAAAAAAAAGGAAATTTTATGAATACATTCTGGACAAATGATTAGCCTTGGGAGTGAGAACAGAGACTAGAGCAGGTCTAGGGGCTCAGGAGACCTCTATTGCAGACTAACTTTGTGAACATGGCCCGTGATTTTATTCCTCTATTCCTCATTTTCTCTGGTCTCTATGTAGATGTCTCTACTGCAGATGAGTGCTAAAAAGCTGAAGAAGTTAACTAAGTACAGATTTTACATTGAAAGGCGATATATTACTAAAAAATTACTCATTTCAAGGACACTTCAAAGACATGTTGAAGGAAACTGCCTGCAGAGAGAGATATCTATATAGCACTTATATTGCTCCTACTGTTTGAGTAGCACCTGTTCCTGGACTAGTGTTGTAGACACCCAAGTCATCTTTGTGAGTGATGTGCAACTTCCAAGGGAAAAAGTGCTTCTCAGAGGGACTTCTTCTGCTCTGAGACACCATGAGTTCAACATCCTGATCAGAGAGCAAGCGGATCAGATCACCATCGAGGTCCCGGTAATTCAAAACAATGTCATCTTGGTTAAACTCCTGCCTGGGAGAAAAGAAATGGATTGATCCCCAGAAATCAAGGAATGCCTGGGAGGTGCTACATGATGAACAACATACTGACAATCTAATTAATTTTGATAAAAGCCACACAAAGCCTTGGGTGTCTTGGTTTTCTTGATACAGCTAGTACTAGAAATCATATAGCCATATTCATGTTGTGTTGTGTTTACGCTAAGAAATCTATCAGAACCAAGAACCATTTCCAGTAACATCACATAAATGGCACAATTCAACTGTGTGTTTGATAGAATTACCATGCAAAAGAGCTGATGGTTGTTACTACCCACTTTTGCCTACTTGTTTTTCCTCTTCCTGAAGAGTGTAAGAATATTAGAACAGGTGCTCTATTACCAATAATTACAAATATTTAATGTTCCAAATTGTTGATGTTCAACACCAGATTAATCTAGTTTAACACTAGTTTAACAAGTATTAGAAGGCCATGTCCTACATCCTGAAGAAATGTCCTAGACGAAAGATGCTTTTATGGGAGTATGGCTCTTAATACAAGAAATGGAAATTTCTACCCATCACAATTGAGTCAGAAGTGTGCATCATTCCTTACTCATTGACAATCCCAAGAAGAACTAGTATCTGCACAGATGGCCCTGGGCCAAGTCAAAGTACAACTTCTTCAAGACACTTGAAAAGTACTTCATACACAAAACATAGTGATGACCAAGTATAATGTGGAAAATCTCAAACCAGAATGACCTTAACAAATATTTAAGCATCAAATATATAATCAAGTGCTTGCATTGTACCTCATCAATGCCATTAGATCTTTGAATGATGGAATGCTGCTCAGATCCTCATCCACTGCGATATCCCTGCATTTAGAATACATCTAATCATTACCTATCATGACAAGAGAATTGTTGGTGTTTCTTCAGCTATAAACTGGAAGACTATTTTATTACTACCTGACAGTGCTCACAGTTTCATCATAGTAATAACAGCGAACTTTATTAATGGTTTCTTCCTTCTGCGGTAAATCTTTTATGATCTTCACAAAAGCACATGGGAAAATCCCAGTGGCACCATCAGCAGTTCCCTGGAATTGTAGGAAATGTTAGAATCTCGAAAACCATGCCATTTTGGCCATATGCAATAGGTTCTGGAATTCAATTAATTTACACAGAAACAACAGTAAGAATTTTTCCACTATAATCAAGAAAAGAAATTCTATGGAAGTGATCTGGTGGCATCCCTTCAAAGATTATACAATTACATAGTCAAATACTAGGCAGGGGAGTGAAACAGTGTGTAAAAAATTAAAGTCAGATGGTTAGCAAGGAAGGCTGTGGTGTTTGAGCAAGCAGAGATATCATATCAGCAAACACACAGTATGTTCCCCTCATCCTTTTTTCAGAACACTGCTGCATTACCCAAGTTCTCTCTAATCAGGCTGACGTGTGTTGTGGTATGAAGCATGAAGCATACATCAACTCACCCTGAGGCAAGAAAACAATTAATCACTGAAATGGAGTTTCCATCTCCTTTCTGTGGCCTTTCTGTGTTCTAATCACTTCCAAAGAATTTAAAAACATTCCAGCAGAAGCAAATGCAAATGAGAACTGAAGTCTGGAGGGCAGAAAATTTGTAAGCTAAAAACCATCAAGTAACCAAACAATTACTAATTTGGAATCAAGGACTTACTCTTGACAGTAAGACCTGATTATGATACAGTTTCTCCTTGAAAGGAAGAGGCAGGTCACAGGACCAGGAGAGCCCTTTCTACTCATATATTTCAAGGTATGCTAATCATTCAGTACTGCTATTGCTGTCTTACCTCTAACCAGTCTTTGTTTACTTTGCTGAGTAGATAGATCAAATCTCCCTTCTTGAAGCTGAGTTCCAGTTTATTGGTTCCAGGAAAATCAAACAGTGCCTGTGGAAAGTAATAACCTCAAAATTATTGATTCACAGAATTACGAAAGTAAATCTTTCTGCTGTTTTCTTGAGGAGAAAGCATAAAGCAGCAAGGCAGCATGCACTTTATCACCATATATGTATTTCTGGGATAAGGTCAGATGTATTTGACCGTAGTCTGCAGTTCTCATAACCTCTTCTCGTGCTCAGCTCACACAAAACTGCTTTGAAAAAGCAGTGAAAGCACTAGGATAAACACGGCCCTGAGAGAGCTACATATAGGGATTCTTAAAGTGGCAGAACACTGAGCACCAGAGAAATAAATATACATAAGCTGAAAGCACTTAAGGGCAATTAAGACAACAGAGCTGAAGCCAACTGACAGCTTGAAATTCTGAGAACTGAAATAATATATTATTTCTCATTACAGCTTTACAGCTTTTCGATTTGCTGCAGGTCTGTATTCTGAACTGGGAGATTTGGAAAAGCCTGGGAAATTGACGTGCTGTTAAAATGGAACTTAGATGCCCTCTTCAGGGAAAAAAAAAAAAAAACAAGAGACAAATACATGCTACCACCCTAGCAAAAAGTTGGATAGCTAAAATGGATGAGTTGTCAAAAATGCACATCTCCCCCATTGTCCTTTGAGAACATGGCAGTCATTTAAATGGTCTTAGAGGAGCAAAAATGAAAAGAACTTCTTTATTCTGCGTTGCAATGGTTCTTCTGGTCTTGTTAATGCCAAGAGTTCTCTTAATTTAAAAAAAAAAAAATGGCTAAAAAATAAAAAATAAAAAAATAAAACAAAAAATAGAAAAATTTTGTGCTAGTGGTTCATATGTCTGCTTAACAGCTCTTTCAAAAGCCTTTTTTCACCTTTTGAAAAGTTCTGGTAGGTATATTCAGTACAAATAAATTAATAGAGAAAACCCAAGAGATATGACTGTTCCAAGACCTGTCTTTCTCTGTGTAAAAAACTAAACCAACCAACCTCAAAGCAGGTGCATGGGTTTTTTAATCTTATATGGCAAAGTCACGTGTTTCAGGAAGCAAGACCCTGCTCAGACAAATACTGGTTATGAAGCAGTCTCACGTGCTTAATACTGAGAAAATATACCACAAAAGACCAAGAGTATGGGCATTTTTCAGCAGAACATTTATGTTACAGAAAATACTAAGATGCCTGCAAAGCTTTTAAGCATATGATGAAGTCAATGAAGCTGAAGCTTATGCCTGTTTTAGATTTAACTTATGGGTAGCACTATGCAAATATGGACAGTAAATTTGGCAGTAAGCTGTACATGTCTCAGTTTTGAATCTCCTGTCATTCTGATTTCACCATGGACCTTCTTATTACTCAAGTGATAAGGAACAGAACACCTCTTTCTATCCTTTGTTTCATTCCCTGTTGTTAAAATCAATTGTTTTTCTCTGTTGATTTCACTTTCTTCTCCCAAGCTCTAATTAAAAAAGGTAACTTGATGGATGAGGTACCAAAGTAAAACAGTTTAATCTCCTGTCCTATGACAGGTTGTGCAGAGTACTCACCTCAGCCCGTGGAGCTGCGGTGCGGTCAAAAATAGGCACTTGATCTGAAATGCTCTTACTGCAAAGAAATGAGACAACAGGGAGGTAAACAACCTTCTAAGTCATTAAAAATGCTACACAGTCAGTAGTGCAGTGTCTGTGTTTTTACTGTTTAAGGGGCATGTACGCCATAGATCACCAGAGAAACTGCATGAGAATCTGTGTGCAGCAGTGAAGTAAATAAATATGGATGCAACAACACTGCCCTAGTTCTCTCAGTTTCAGTGCAGAGCAGCAGCAATCTGATGGTGTCTGCTGCTGAGAACAGATGGAATTCTCAATGCAGTCAGTATTCTGGACCTCTTTTCCACAGCACTGCTCAGTCCCTCTACTCTGCCTTCTGGGCATCATTGTTTCTAGCTTTTACAGCATTTAGTACAAACTCTGCCATCATATACACATGCAGCTTTTGCACTGTTTGAGGTAGGTGAAAAGGAAGTGAGTCCACCTTTGGCATGCTGAAAAGAGAATGAATTTATCTGAAGGGTAATGAAGTATGACATCTACTTAGCAGTTCTCCAAAGGGGTGTCAATGCTGCTATGGAGGACAGACCCCTGTTTAGGCAAAGGACAGGAACAAATTAAGCATTCAGTTTCATTTAGTGTCTGAACCAGTTCTCACTGAATTCAGTGCCAAAACTCACATTGACTTCAGTGGTGCAAGCCTATGTCCTTAAGCTTGGCCTGTATATTCTGCACGTTATTATAGAGAGTATCTTTAAAGAAATATAGGCAGATTTTTATTATTTTATTTTTTATTTATTTTTATTATTTATTTATTTTTATTATTTATTTTTAAAAATCAAGGTATACTCTCATTTAGGAATTTTCCTTTAATGCAAGTACCACATCCACTTTAGAAATTTGAGATTACTGAAAATAAGAAACACTCTGTGTTGACTCCACCACAAAAACCCTCATAATTAGGGATTCATGGATTCACTTGGAAAACACAGTGGTGATCCTCATCCCTCTCCCCCCCACCCCCAAAACTGGACATCTCTTACGTCAAGCAACACTGAAAAAAACATGTCAATCACTTACACTCGGCGTGTCCGTGGGCGAAGCCGTCTCAGTCTGTGAGGCACCTGCTCACCATCAAAGGTTGAGTGATAGAAGAACAGCCGAACGTCCTCATCCATCAACACCCAAGCAGGGAGGCAGAGTAGGTTCTGTGCCAAGAGCAAGCAGGAAGCAGAGTGTAACAGTGGGAGAGACCAATTCTCTATTTATTTACATGTAACAAATATGCCTCTCTGACCTACAGGATCATGAAGGATATTCATTACTGCCAGAAATCTCCCTCCTCTCCCTTCTCACTCAGCAGGACACAGCTGAACAGCTGACAGTCTCTCCTCTTTACTCCTGGAGTTGGCCAATGTATTCCTTCCCTCTTTTTGTACCTGATTTACTGCAGGAGTAAATTGCTTTTTGTCTTTTTCTTCAGAACATGAATGACTGTGGAAAGAAGGCAATCTTAAGTAGTGGAAGTCTCGGCCAGTGCTTCAGACTTCTACTGATTTGAAGTTCAGGTCTTCAGTTAACCTGCACACGAAGAATATCTCTCCTTGATGTATGCTGCATCTTCACTGTAATTCAGGTACTCTAAGAAACCTACCTGTCCTGATTCTGGCTGTGAGTCAGTTTTCTTCTTAGTAGCTGGTACAGTGTGTTGGATTTAGCATGAGAATAATGTTGGTAACACACAGATGTTTTAGTTGTCTCTAACTGGTGGCTTACTTAGGCTAAGCCAAGGACTTTTCTGTTTCCCAAGTCCTGCCAGTGAGGAGCTGCACAGGAAGTCAGGAGGGAGCACGGCCAGGGCAGCTGGTCTAAACTAGCCAAAGGGATATTCCATGTCATAGGACATCATGCCCAGTATGTAACTGCAGGGAGTTGCCCAGGAGCTACTCATCACTGCTCAGTGGACTGGCTGGGCATCGGTCAGCCGGTGGTGAGCAATTGTATTGCGCATCATTTGGTTTTGTTCTTCTATAGTTTTATTTCTCTCTTTTTGATCACCTCCCTTCCAATTACAATTATTTATTACTATTGCATTTTACTTTATTTCAATTATTAATCTGTTCTTATCTCAATGCATGGGTTTTACCATTTCCCAATTGTCCTCCCCATTCCATTAGGGGAGGAGGGAGTGAGCAAGAGGCTGCATGGCACTTAGATGGTGGGTGGAGTTAAAGCACAGGCCACACACCCACTCCTAATCCCTTGGATGCACACTCCAACTCTGTATTCATGAAAAACCTGGAGATTCACCATTTCCTCATACATCTTGGGGGTTTTGGTAAGGATATCTGTCTGTATGTGAAGGCAGAGAGTGAGCCTTTGTGAACTGCATATGCCAGCAGATCCTACAGTCTGAACAATCTGGGGAAGGGGACTCCAGATTGTACCACAGTGTGGGCACTGTGCCTTCAGGAAAGCAGTACAGAGAGAAGCAGATACTTAGAACTCTAACAGAACTGTCTGTCTTAGCTGACTTCAATGGCTAAGTATCTGAAGTGATCAGTGCATTCTTTACTTTAAAATTAAGTTTTACCTTCATGTAGACATTTAGGATAGGAATCCTGTTCTCAGCAATTTCCTTTTTGGCACCAACAAAAACTTTTCCTGGAAAATATAAAACCTGTGACAGCTATTGAAGGGACAAAAAAAAAAATAAAAAGAAGAAAAAAAAAAAAAAGGAAAAAGAAAGTAGGCTGTCAGAGAAAGGAATCAAGAGGAAGTAGAAGCTCAAAAAAACCTACACATTTTCTAGAGGATTTAAGGTTTCTAAATGAACTTTACCACAAATGAAGGGACTGTCAATGGAACATGACTTCTCTGGCATCCATAGCCAGGAATTAGCTCCTTGTCACAACTACTTCTCTCACTGCATTCCTCTTTAGGACAGCCTGGAGCTGAGAAAGCTGCTAGTTATGCAAAGGTTTGGTACTGACAGCTTACCTGGCAGTACAGGCAGTGTGCAGGTAAATGGGCTGTTATTGTTCTCTGGACCATATCTCTCCTCTAGTTTGGTGTGCAGGGCGTAGAACTCACGATAGCGCCGGAAAATCAGGTATCTGCCACCGCCTTTAAGCTTTACTTCAATGACAAACATCTGAAACAGAGAAGAGGGATCCAGGCTGATGTTCATACCTATAAATACTCACCAGATGAATGTGAGGAATAAAATAGGAACATAAGATCAGTGCTCCATTAGTGGGAATATTCTCTTAGGAGCAGAGAGGAAAGCAAGCCTTCAGTGAAGCATCTGCGAATTCAGGAACTAGGAAATAACAAGGTAGCACCAGTGTGGTATTTGTGTGGGTCCAGCTTGCATATGAAGCATGTCCCCTTTATAATCTTAGAAGGAAACATGAAATTACTACATTCAACTTTATGCTTGCACACTTTTCTTCAGTGACAAAAAAAATACATTAGGGAGACAAATACAAATATTTTACAATAAGAGAACTTGGAGATCTAAATCTAGAGACAGACATCAGAATTGAAGACATACTTCTTTTTGACTTTAATATACACAATTGCAGAAATTATGGTCTGCCCTCCTTCAACCACTATTTTATTTTATCTCTTGACAAAATTGCTTTGCTCTAAAGGAACCCCACATTTCTATGCACTGACCTCTAAGTCATATTGCAGCCAGATCCTTCCACAAACATAAAGACAGCAATGAAACATCACTCTATTCCAGTGTAAAACCTGAATTCTACAGTGGGAGTGTTTTTATGAGCAGTGTCTCCAGCAGAAGTCAGACTGAGCTGGTCATATTCAAACCTTCAGAAAATGTTAATGCCTTTCCCTAATATTCCCTTCCTGTGTGCTCTTTTGTGTCTTAATATACTACCTCCTGTGAAGATGGGAGCATCCTAACTTGCCAGTACCATGGAAAAATGAGACAAGACTCTGCCTTTCTACCCTCTGAATTACGTTTCCACTAACTTCACCAATGGTACAGGACTCCAACAGGAAACAAACCAGATATTAGGAAAGAATTATGATGTTAGAGGATATCTCCCACATTTCATTCAGAAAATAAGTTTTTAGACTGCATCTGGGATAACTATACTCCATTACAGAAAAAGAAAGCACTAAGTCTTCCACATGGAACTACCCATGCCAAAAAGCAATTACACCAGATTAACCACATTTTGCTTCCCACAACCAAACCAGTCACAGGTGAAGGCATATAGAGGCAGGATAAATCTCCCTTCTTACATAGTAATTAGTAAAGCCTTTCTTCTCTTCAATATCTGCAATATTAGCTGAAACAGGTACATCATCTGGAAGCTGGTCAAAATCGCTGTGAAGCAAGAACAGAAGATTTAGGTTACTCATACTGGTAATAGCCTTTGAGGTATCCTATGCCACATAGAACAAAGATAGACAATATCATATCAAAATTAAGACATTAGAAACTCATGGTGTCATTCTCTTCCTCTGGAGGTCTGATCTTGAGATGTCAAGTTTCAATAAATTTAGCACAAGTCAGTGGCCAATACCCCTCTCATTCCTATTCTTCCTCGAGAAGCAGGACTACAAAACAAACACTTGAACTGCTAAGCTTTTCCTGAGAAATGTGATCAGCTGTGGATGCATTCTTAATCCTTCCTTGATCTAGGAGATTTACAATAAGAGCTCTGCATCAGTTGATCTTATTCTAAGGAGATCATTATATATCATGATTTATGCTGCTATTATTACTGCATTACTGTAGGGAATAGGAAACAGTTCTGAGAAAAGAGCTTGTTATGCAAGGTGCTGTAGAAACTGACAGCACAAAGCTAAATCCTAAAAACTTTATACCCTGTGCAAGATGTGTAAAATGTACCACATACATATAAGAAAAGAAACAACTAAATAAACACAAACAGAAAAAGAACAAAGAAACAAAAACTCTGTATCAAAACTAGTGATGCCTACACCAGCTGTCAAAATGTCAAGTTTTCTTGTAAACATCACAATAAAGCAAATTCTTAAAAGAAGCCTGGGAAAAAAAGAGTAGGCTATCAAATATTTGGAGAGACACCTCCCAGTCACAGCAGGTAAGATTCACCACAGAATCACAGAATATTTGGAGTTGGAAGGGGCCCACAAAGATCATCCAGTCCAATTCTTAAATGAATGGCCCACACAGGGATCAAACCTACAACCTTGGTATTTATTGCCCCATCACAGCAGATAACCTGAAGCAAGCACAAAGATACTTATTTGAAAATGTCAAAGATGTGTGAAGGAACACTTGGAATTAGGCAAGGTTGGAATGAGCTTTGCAAATCCTAGAAAGGATTGGATTGGAAGTAAGAAGGAAGGATCGCTAACGAGCAGCCATATGACCACAAAGTCGTGTTACTGGTCTGTACTGTCCACACAACAAAAAAGCATGGATTGGCAGGTGTTTCTTCGTCTACGACCTTCCCCTTGGTGCAACAGCTTTGACAAGTAGCAGATAAATTCACCTTTTCTTCAGTCTTTTAACTCAGTGTTGTTAGAGGGATATTTATATTAAGACCTGAGTAAAAAGCATTTAGAATGAGGAAGAAAGGATAACAAATGAGATATAGAAGGGCTTTTAAAAGGGTCACCTAAGAAATGCCAAGCTGAGAAAATGTTAAATATTCTGATAATCCTAAAAAAAAATAAGTGGTTGTTGTCTTAGTTTATTCTTCTAGAAGAATATCCCAAGCAGGGGCTTCCACAGGGCGTAGTCCATTTGAAATTCTGAAGTAATGATGCAACATCTTGCAATAGTTTGGTGTATGAGGAGAATGCCATGAATCAGCACCACCCACAATACTTTAAATACTACCCCTTACTGTGAAGAGGGATGTGGTTATGGAGACCAGGATATATAATTAGTCATATCACAAACACTCATATCATAAACTCCAGTAAAAGGGAAACTGTTTTGCAGTTGTAAAGAGGACAATGACCCACTATGTCCTAGGTGGTGATACTCCCCACAAAAAGAGAAAGTCCACTCCAGCATAAGAAATGGTCTGCTCTATAACCCTAAGCAGCCTAATAGCGTGGAAGTTATGATAACAAGATGCCTTTTAGAATCACCAAAGATGCTCATATCTCAATTAACCAAACAGATCACGGGAGTTACATGAGGCTTGTGGGGAGGCAGGAGCAGGGAGAAACACATTACCTCTTTTCTCGCAGCTGTCGGGGAAGAGACATGGCTCTTCTTAAATCCAGATGATTAAGATCTATTCCTCTACTTCTTGAGCAGTTCCTGGTTTAATAGGAAGATCACAAAGTCAAAGTAATTCTCCCTGCATGAAACAACACTCTTTTGCAAGGCCTCAGAGATCTTTTTTTAATGTTTCAGTGTCAGACGATTTCTGCTGTACCTCCCCACCCCCACAAGTTTGAGGAAGTACCGGGGGAAAACAGTAATAAAGAGAGACTGTTCTGTGATGTCGGTCATGTCTCAAAACTGCCACAATTGAGAAACTGAAAGCCCAAGAAAAAGCACAAACTGTGAGCCACATATTCCATTGTCCACCCTCCTCTGAAACATTTGCAGCTAGCTCTGGCCTCTGTTGAAAGCCAGTATGAGTGGGCTCAACAAAGCCTGTTTTGCCTCAGTTAAAATGTCCCCATATACAGCTCTACCTTAATATTTGTAAACTAGGATGAAAACTTCTGATCCCCTCTTAAAGCTCTGTGATTCCCAAGGATCCTCCTTTTCACAGACCAAGAGCCAGGAGGTGGAGCTAAAGAATAAATTTTAAAATGGGAGCAGAATATATCATCAGAAAAATCAGCCTTGTCAAACACCCGGGCACCGGGCACAAGAGATGAGCTTTGAAGGATGGATCAATGAAAGTAAGACAGGAGTCCTTTAAAAGCTAAAGATCTTTTTGGCTTCATGTGCTCAAAACAACCCACATACAAAGACAAGGTAATGGCTTGCCCTGGCTTGTACTCAAGCTATAGTGACAAAGCATTTATATAACACCAGTTAACAATCTTTCAAGAAGAAAATAAAAGGAAGAAAGTGATGAGGAAACCATGATTTCTTAACGATATGGTGAAGTTGTAACACAGCTTATCTGCCTTAGTCAAAAGCTGTTATGTGCATCCTTGCCTCTCCATTTCTGCCTTTGACTCTCTTCCATTTTCATGTTCAATATGTATTTGCCTCCTTCTCCTCCTTCCGCTGACAAGAACAAAAATTCCCTTCTGAATGGAGCAAAAAATCAACCAGCATCCTTCAAAATAAAACTCTATTTGCAACTGTAATCATCAGCCTTGAGAGTAACTGCATTGCATCGCATTTTAATGAAGTAAATCCTTCACCCATCTCCTTTCTATGGATAACTCTAGGCACCACGATAGAATTTGAGAGGGGATACAGTGTCTCTTGATCAGAAGGAACCAGGAGAGCAAAATTCTGAATTGTATTTTCTGAGTGATCTGCTACTCTGCTACATATCATAGCTTTGACAAGAAAATCATAGAAAGGGTATCCTAATTTTTCAAATGTCCTGAAAGATAATCTAGGTACAATGCAGGTACATCTTTTAATAGACAGAGGATATGACACAATGCAAAAATACATGTTCATCATTTATCTAGGGACATGGTTTTTTGAAAACAAGTCGGCAGAAACTCTCAGACAAATTGTCTATGCAACTGCTTTGCTGTAAGATGAGTAGAACAAACTGAAAGCAGCTCAATTCCACTACTTTCTACTAGAGATCACAGCTAGTAATAATACTACCTTGACAGAATAATGCTAAACCTACTAAGAATGTTTATGATTCTGCAGTACTTTCTTGTTCTGAACTCAACCAGAAAAAAAGATTGCTTTTCTGACAAAAAGCAGATTTCTGCCTCAGAAGAGTGGATAGCTGATTGGTTAGAGAGAACACCAAGGCTGTGAGACTAAGATTGGAAACACTGCTTTGACATCTTCTTCTGTGCCAAATCAGTGCCTCAACTACCACATGTTTTCTTTCCATTTCTACTATTGTGCTGCTATGGTAGAAATAACAATTCCTTTTATATGGGTTGAGAAAATAGGCCGTCTCTAATCAAACATTCTCTGTTCAAATAATTATTTTAAGAATGAAATAAATATCCACTACAAATCTGATAGCCTAATGACAGTACCTATGTCAAGAGATGTGCCTGCAGTAAAAAATTTCATCAGCTGACATGGCCAGCTCTCAGTTTTGAGAAACCCCATCTTTACACTATGGCTGGCATGGTCATTGTGGTGCTATGCACTGACCCAATTACATGTGCAAGAGAAAGCAGGAATTCATCCATGTGCACAGAATACAAAACAAAAATTGTTCCATTAAAGGAGACTACTAAGAGAATCCTCAGATGACTGAATCATGACCATATGCTGCCACCACTATATGCCTCTTCACAGTTCACAGTCTACTCTATTATTTTGGACATGCCTGTGAGCTGTGAAACTGTGGCCTTCTGTCCAATGCACCTGTTGTTAGAAAACACATGTACAAGGACACATAGCACCCTGTAAATCTGACAGTATCAGCTAGAACCAAACAACCAAACTAGTGAGGAATTTCAATGAAAAATAGGAATGTAGTCCCAAATCATCAGAGATACATGAACTACTGATAAAAGGTAAACCAAAAAATGTAGCAGAAATACTCAGCTGAATCTTTTGGATGACAGCACTACATACTCATGTCCACTAGGGCAGCAGCTACTGTACCATTTTGCATGACTTTATAGAATAATGGATTCTCTCTGATGCACCTGATCTTACAAAACTGCTGTGCAGTTATGCTCAATCACCTGCCATAGAATAAATCTTTCAAGTGACAGGAGAAAGTAAACAAGAATAAAAATGTTAAAAGATGTCTGATCTCATCACAGATTAATCTGCAAAGGAAATAACATTAGCTATCACTGCAAGGAAGCTGAACATCAAACAGAAACACATACGGCAGAGTTGGCTTGCAAGATACTTTCATTCAACCTATTGTTTTTAAAAGAGATGTGGAATGTTTGTTTCTGTAGCATACACATCATTAGCAGTTGGATGCCTTGTCTCCTGTGGTTGCTTGAGACTGAGCTGCAACTGTAATAACACTGATTTGGGAAGTATTTGGGGATCTTTTCCATTTTCCTTTAATAATATTTGTACTGACCACCAGCTTTACAGAATGCTTTAATAGACTTTTACAATATTTATTTTCAAATACAGCCATGTATAAGCTAGCTATTATTTTTATTATAGCACATTAATAATTAATTACAGTTCTGTAAAATTTCTGGACAGAAGTTACATTATATAAGCTATTCATGTCTGTCCTGCAATCTTTGGAGCTCTTTTGCAGGTAGTGCTACAAAATCCTTAGGAGACAATTGGCACAATAGTAAGTAATAAGACTGTTTCTTTCCCATATGCTATCAGGACAGTGGAAAACAAACCATTAAAAAAAAAAAGTTGAAGTTGTCCTATCTTTCTGAACTTGAAACTTTGAATAAAAAAACCAAAGGGGACATAAGTTGAGAGTTGAGCTGATTGGTTTTGTATTCTTCATTTGATAATGGCTCAATTCATAGTGTCTGAATTTATGGATATTCTCCCTGTCACACATTGTGTTGGGATTAAAAAAGCCACAGGAGTATGGATTGATAGAATTTGGAAATGTGCTTTGAATTAAATCTGGACACAGTTTCCATGATTGCTTTTTTAGGGTGAAAAATAGCTAGTAGGTATTTGCAGAAAAAGACTCTTTTCATGCCCTGCTGATATAAACACAACTGAATAATCCATCTTGGACTGAAGAAATTTAAAGGTCAGCATCTACCACAGTTCCTGACAGTGAATTTAATGGTGTCATTTCCAGAATAAATTATTACTCGACATGGAAGAGGTTTACAGAACCAAATGTTAAAGAATGAGCAGCATTTTTTTAAAATTACATTCTTCCCAGAACATCAAACTAAATCATATACCTGAATCTTGGCTTTTTCACCTCTACTACTTGAGCAAAATAAGGAATAAGTATTGCAGGGGAAAAAAAAGACACCCCAAAAAGTGAGGTTTCGCTTTTGACATTATCAGCTATTTTGGAAATACGCAACCAAAAGTACCATTCTGAGGTTTGAGAGTTCATGATTCAATAGGCAGATCTCGCCAGCTTTTCTTATGCAGGGAAATATCACAAGCAGTATTATGATCTTCCTCTCTGTGGAAAACAATTCTTCTTTTAAAATAAACCTGCTTCCTTTAAAAATCTTTTTAATTATACAGGATTTCTTCCTGATAGGGCAGAATCACCTAGACTGGAAGAGTTAGAAGAAACTTCTGCATGAAAAGTGGAGCTTTTTGTTCTTGCAGAGCTCAGATGGATATTTGATGCCCAGGTGAGAAAAATGGAAGCTCAGAAACAAGAAGAGAACATTTCTTCATCCAGATCACATATCACTTCCTGGATAAAAGAGACAAATAAGGAAGAAATAGGGCAGAGCTTGTCACTGCTATTGTGCATGACAGATGCAGGATGGAGGTGGAGCCCTGTGCTCCAGTCAGCTTCTCCAATGTGAAATTCTGGTAACTGGCAATTGCAGACAAAAAACCAGGAAAGTTCCATTCAAGCAGTCCTGAGAGAGCTATGCCTACAACCATCCCTCCAGAACTTTAAAACCTAGTTTTAATGCCCAGCAGCAGAGCACCTTTGTGACAGGGGGGGTTTTGTGTTTTAAGTCTCCTATTTATCTTGAGAATAAAAGATCTGTTGGAGTTATTGCTACTCAAGACAAAGAAAATTCTGCTTCATCTATTTCACAAGTTCAAAAGACCTACTAAAATTACCCAAAAAAATTTCACTGTACTTCCCCAAATGGCAAAACAGGGTCAGGATTTGCTAAAATTTGTGCACTGATGCATTCAAATCAGCCTACACTGTTCCTAACATCCATTTGAAGAAATCTTGTGACCAAATTCCTTTTACCTTATTAAGAAATTTTAGGTAAGTGTCTGTAGTTAAGTGAAGTTTTCTAAAAAGTTAAGGGAAACAGGCACCACTGGCCAGTAAATAAGACCTCAAGTGGGCCAGTTCTCCCTATGAAGGTTTTATCTGTCTCCTAGGAATATATATGAATTATGAAATGGCTAAATTCCCAGCTTTGTCACCTCAGGTTTCTAAAGGTAAGGTAATAAATCTGTCCATTACCATGGACCTAGTTATTACTGGTACAAAGGTACCTTCTCATTCGGGACTCAGCTATATTTGGATATGCACTTTTACACTGGTATAATTGTCTTTACCCTAGGGGAGTTGTACTACTTAAGATACACTGATATAGTCAAAGAAGCACAATTTTCTGGTGCAGAAATATCCAGTCTGCTCCTTATAGAGACTTTATGGCTCATTTTCTAATGGTTCATAAATTGGGACAATATTCCTTAATAAAATCAGGGGGCAAGGGGGCTAAAGATTAGGATAGGCAGGCAAGTGGCAAATATAGAGGCAATAAATAGCAAAGCCCTGTGTTTTTTCAAAGTTCTGCTGTTCAAAGTATTCCTCACAGCATATACTCACAGCCTGCCTCACCTGCTGCCTCACCTACCAGCCATTTATTACCTCAGACCTTCACTCCCTGAAAGATAAAATTGTGGAATTAATGCACCAATTAACATTTCAACGAGCAATTCAAT